CTTTTGCCTCACGCGGGTTTCGGTGCGCTGGCCGGGCCTGGCCTACGGGGCCAGTAAGCATTTGCTGGGGCGAGGGCTTGTGCGAGTGCTCTGCCTGGGTCAGGCGAGGCTTCGGGCTGTCGTGTGCAGCGACTTCTCTATCAGCCTGAGAGCAGGGATGCCCCTGAAGGCTCGCGGGGGCTGCCACGCAGATCCAGACAGCCTCGGTGGGCTTATTTCCCTTTAAAGTCCCGTCAAGGCAAAAATACGCAGCTGTCAGGCGGTGCTATACACGGTTTGTAAATTGGGCTTGATGATACTAGTGTTAACATTTTCCTCAGTGTTTCAGGTACTGATAAAATTATAATTACAGTCTACAAACCAAGTTGAAATGAAGGAGAGTGTCCTAGCAAATATTAATTGAAACTGAGAGACTGTGTGATACCAGGGCTCCAAAGCCTGTTTCTGGACTAAAGAAAAATGTATCTGGTGTTCTTGATTTGGGAAGAACAGGTTGAATACTATGTTTTCCGAGCTTGAGTCCCCTTAGATAGGTCCATACTGGCTTCCAACATCTTTGATTAGGTTTTTCTTCTGGTACCATGGTGGGTTCATTAATTAAGGAACAGACTCTTAAGGACTTTATTTTTCTTTTAATCCTGCTAATCACAGTGTTAATGTCAGGACAACTCCTCCCAGCAGCAGCTCCATCAGTCATGATGAGCTTCTTCCACATACATGGTGACTTCTGGGTTTTGGTACAGTTTGGTAAATACCTTTCTCTGACTACTTTAAAAACTATATGTGTATCTATCCATCTTAAGAAACTTGATCAATTTTCGTACTCTCATGACTAATTGATACAATAGTTATGTATTATGAGATTTTTCATAACAGAGCCTCTGAGATGTCCCGTTGTGTGGGTCCCTGGGAGGTACTTGTGGAGGTTGCTCACAGAGGGGTGGGAGATGCAGGTGCTGGGGGCGATGGGTGATGGTAGCAGCGTGGGGTGGGGATGCTGTGCCTGCAGATGCCAGTACCAGCCGGAGGTGGGGATGTCGGTGGTGGGGATGCCAGTGGCACGATGGGGTAGAGATTGCAGGGGTGTTGGACTAGATGACCTTTAAAGGTCCCTTCCAACCCAGAGATTTTATGATTCTATGATACTTGTTGCTTTTGAGAGAAGTTTATTGTATATTCTCAGTTTTATCGATTATATGCAGGTTTTTCACGTGTGGCATATTTTTCACTGATGTCTTCCCTTCACTCCCTAATAAAAGCCTATGTATAATTCTGGATTTAACTACTTAGCAAAAAGAAATAGCAATTTAGCCTAGTGATGGATGTTCAATTTAGGGGGTTGATTTTGTATTATAAGATTTTTGAACCAACAGCATAAACAGATCATTTTGCCTCTGTAAAAGAAAATTTTGGGCTTTTTCCTCTGTTACTGGTGAACTGAAGTAGTATTGTGATCTTGCTCCTTTGTATATCGTATTTCTGAATGGATGGACTTTCTCTGAAGTTCCTATATCAATTCTGCACTGGCCCACAGAGGATGCAGAAGCAGCCAGTTTTATCTGTTAATTGTCATACCGTATGACGGTGTGCTAGTCAGAAATGGTGTGACAAGTGTGGGTGGGGATTTTTGTTTTGTTTTGCAAAAAGTTTTAGAATTTATTATTAGAATTTGGGTAAGTTAATGCTACAGTAGAACTTGCTATCTTATCCTGCTGGCTAGGAGTTCTGTTGCAGTTTCTGGTTGAAAAAGGTTTGTGATAAAATTCAGCTTAGGCATTACAGAAATGTCAAATAATCTAAGCTAGTAGCAAACATCGTATCAGCAAGCTTTTGACCCAGTCTGTATCATTCTGTCCTGGAAATTGTATAGGATTCATGTTGTATTTCAGTTTTGCTGTGTAGGATGTTTATAATTTAATGTTAAATTGTATACAACTTACCTGAAGAGGAAAATACCAAATGTTGCTGAGTGAGCAGTGAGGAAATAAAACCACTAGGAAAAAGCATAATGCCTGTTTATATATTGTGAAAGTTCAGCTTCATTTAA